AAAAAAAAAAAACTAAGTTTTTTTTTAATGTCTATTATTGTTTCCATGTAACCATATCATTACGGTAGCTGTCAAAGCAGTATTTAAAACTGGTATATTTAAGAACAAATTAAAACAAACATTTTTTATAATTTCAAAATTTTAAATCTTCAGACAAAAAAAAAAAGTAATTGCGACAGTAATTTATAAGTGAAAAAGTGCCTTGTAATAACTGTGGAAAGGAAATGGCATTTTTTTTTTTGAAGACTTTAAAATTGTTATGCTACTTTCCTTTTCCTCGCTTTAGTTTTTAATTTTTGTAAGCTTTATAAGTGAGAGAAGAGAAGGAAAAAAAAAAGAAAGAACAACTAGAAATGAGGAGCAAAAATGGTAGATTATATAATTTGGTGTCAAAAAATACAACACTGAAATTGAGGACCAAAAAAGACTGGGAAGTGAATGAGCAAAAAACGGGGAGCAGGATGGGCTGAAGGGGGACAAATTAGTGGCTCCATAAGACAGTATAAATGTGTTTAAAACTTCAACAGCAACAATAAAAAAAAGAAAAAAATGAGTAAAAAAAATAAATGTGAAGAAAAATTGGCAGTAATATTAAATTTAAACAAAAGCAAAGGCAAAAAAAAAACAGGAAAACTAATTTATGGCTTATTCAGGTGATATTACAGTTAACAACGTTCCTCTTCCTTCCCCACATCGTTGCTGCCCTTTTTCTTCTTTTGCTTAAATTCTTTTCTCTTGTCTTTCTTCTTTGATTTATTCTTCAATATAATTAGACTCCTTATAATTCTTTGGCAAAAAAAAAAAAATTGAAATGAATATTTTGTTGTTTGAGACGCATCTAAAAAAGTATTTGTGGTAAATATCAGACACAGATAAACAGTTGTCAGTTTCACTGTTATTGATAGTTTATCAGAGTTATGTAAATGGCAAAAACAAAGAAAAAAAATCGAGAAACCAATGTTATTGGAAAAAGTTTCTAAAAAAATTCTGTTTTTTTTTTT